CGCACCGTTCACGTTCGTGACCGGAACGGAGCATTAGTTYCATGCACGGTGCCTCTTCCTCATCCTTCGATCAGCTGCCACGTGGTATCCGCCGCAAGCATGCGAGCTTCCATCATCAGAGACGACATYGAGGAGATGGGGGTGTGTTTTCTCCACGCCCTCCCGCCACATGACGCTTCATCGACGGACTCACCTTCGGATCCACGCATCATCGAACTTCTCGACGCCTACAGCGACGTGTTCGAACGCCCGCACGGAGTAGTACCGGATCGACCCATCCACCACGAGATCATCCTCGAGGACGGGSCCGTACCTCCGCGCGGTTGCATCTACCGAATGAGCGAGGAAGAGTTAAGTGTGCTTCGGGTACAACTCGACGACCTTCTAGAGAAAGGCTGGATTCGGCCTAGCTCATCGGCATACGGTGCTCCTGTTCTCTTCGTCCGGAAGAAGAACAAGGACCTGCGGTTGTGCATCGATTATCGCAAGCTCAACGCGCAGACGATCAGGAACGCCGGCCCTCTCCCACACATCGACGACCTTCTCGAGCAATTGGGCGGCGCCCAGTTCTTCTCTAAGCTGGATCTCGAGTCAGGGTACCACCAACTCGAGATTCGCAAGGAGGATCGCTACAAGACCGCGTTCAAGACACGGTATGGGCATTTCGAATGGCTGGTCATGCCATTTGGCCTTACGAATGCCCCAGCCACTTTCCAAGCGGCTAGATCGTTTCGTACTTATCTACCTCGACGACATTCTGGTTTACAGCCGGAGTGTGGACGAGCATGTGGAACACTTGCGCACCGTTTTTGAGCGGCTATGATAGGCCAAGTACGAAGCTAACCGCGACAAGTGTGAATTCGCGCGGCAGGAGCTGGAGTACTTGGGCCATTATGTGACGCCGCAAGGCATCTGTCCGCTCGCGAACAAGATCGAGGCCCTACGAGTATGGCCCGAGCCCACCAACACCATGGACGTTCGTTCATTCATGGGATTGGCGGGCTACTATCAGCGATTCATCACCGGATACTCCAGGATTGTTGCACCTATGACGAGGTTACAGTCGCCAAAGGTGCCATTCGTATTCGATGACGACGCACGCCGGTCATTCCAAGCACTTAAGACGGCTATGCTCATGGCACCCGTCCTTAGCATCTATGACCCCACCTTGCCGACGAGAGTAACTACGGACGCTTCCGGCTACGGCATTGGGGCAGTCTTGGAACAGCACAAAGGCGACGACTGGCACCCTGTGGAGTATTTCAGCCACAAAGTGCCTCCCATCAACTCGCTTGATGATGCAAGGAAGAAGGAGCTACTCGCGTTCATCATGGCTCTCAAGCGATGGCGGCACTTCCTCCTTGGGCGTCGTAGGTTCACATGGGTTACAGACAACAATCCATTGACCTACTACAAGACGTAGGATATGGTGAGCAGCACGATCGGACGATGGATGTACTTCATCGACCAGTTTGACTTCACACCGAAACATCTACCCGGCCTCTCAATTCCCGCAGCAGATGCACTCTCGTGAAGACCAGATCTTTGTGCTATGACACATCATGCCTTCGCATTCGACAAGGAGCTTCAGCGACACTTCATCCGGGCATATGAATCTGATCCGGACTTCGGCACGCTCTATGCACAGCTATCTTCGGATCACCCGCCGGCCAGCCATTACCGCATTGTCGACGGGTACTTGCTCCTCCACTCGAGAGGCAAGGACTTACTATGTGTCCCACGCGGCCGTCGTCTTCGGACTCGCCTCCTCGGCGAGTATCATGATTCACGACTCGTCGGCCATTTCGGAGTCAACCGCACTATTGCACGGCTTCGACAACGATTCCGATGGCCCGACCTCATTACCGATGTCACTCGGTATTGCGACTCTTGCGAAGTTTGCCGACGCAGCAAGCCCCGCAACCGCAATCCCTATGACGAGTTACACCCGATGCCTATCCCACGGGAACCCGGTCTCTCCATTGCCATGGACGTCACCGGTCCGTTTCCTCGCGACCGGCTCGGGCACGACGGCATCCTCACGGTTGTGGACCGACTGAGTAAGTACGMGCGTTTTCTCCCTTGCAARTASTACTCCACGGCTCCCGAGCTGGCACGCCTCCTGCACACTGGTTGGATTTGTGGCCACGGTGTACCAGAAGACATTKTCARCRACCGCGACACTMGTTTCATGTCGGSRTTTTGGACTGCTCTCATGCAGGAGTCTGGCACAACAATGAAACCAAGTTCGGCTCGACACCCTCAGACAGACGGGCAGACGGAGCGGGCACATCAGACCGCTCAAATGATGCTTCGTACGCTCATCCGTCCGGASCAGAAAGATTGGGTTGACCGCCTCCCCGACATCGAGTTCGCCTACAACACTTCGGTGCATCCGGCGATSGGCGTGACTCCATTCGAGTTGCACCACGGTGGACGGAAAGGTCGGATCTTCGCCGACCTTCTCCTCCCTCGACCAACCGACATTGACGCTGCCTGCTCTCCCTCTTCCGTCCAGAAGTACACGGAATTGCTGACTCAAGCCCGCACAAATATGCAAAAGGCTCAAGTCCGCATGCAGCAGCAAGCCAACAGGCGTCGCGTACCATGTCCCATCCGCGTGCCGGTGATCTGGTTTGGGTCTCCGCGGAAGAGTTTGCACTGGAACAAGATGTTTCACGCAAACTGCTCCCCAAGTGGTTTGGACCTTGGTCTGTGACAGCAGCCGCGGGCGATGAGGGCGATGAGCCCGATGGCCCTTCATTTGTGATCAACATTCCAAAGCATCTGAAGGTCCATCCGGTCTTCCACGCCTCGAAGCTGGCAACTTACACGCCAGCCAAGAGCGACGACTTTCCAGACCGACGATCGCAGGACCCTCCTTCTATGGATGGCCATCAGGAAGTTGACTGCGTCATCTCCGATCGCAAGTACGGCAGCAAGCCACAACAGTATAAAGTCACATTCAAAGCATGCGATCGCGACGCCACTCGGTGAATATCAAGCGAAGATTTGAAAGCATCCGCACCGCTGATCTACGTGCATTATGAAAAGCGCAGGTTAGCTCAGGAAGCTTCACGACCAGCCCCTCCCACCCGGACTGTGGTCCCTCCCTCAGACAGACAGCTTCGCCCTCGCAGGTAAGCTCGGTTCTTCAAGG